AAAACCCTCAAACTATAAGAGGAAAGGATAAATTAGACTTTTCTAAAACTTGTACTCTGTGAAGGATGCTATTAGGAACATGGAAAGTGCACCAGGCATGGTATCTCACACCTTTAATCTTAGCACTCAGGAGTAAGAGGCAGATGGATCATTAAGAATCCATGGCTACCCTGGTCTACAAAGCAAGTTCCAGGACTGCTGTGGAACAATCTTTGTACACTGTAAATATGTATTACTCTCACTGGTTAATAAAGAGCTGACTGGCCAATAGCTGGACAGGTAGAAGTTAGGAAGGACTTGCAGACAAAAAGAGAATACAAAGAAGAAAGGAGGAGTCTCAGGAGTGGTGAGATGCAGAGAGAAGCAAGATGAACTTGCTGTGTTGAAAAACAGTACTACCACTGTCAGAGAATAGGTCAATATGGGTTAAAGTTGTAAGAGCTAGTTAGTAATAAGCCTAAGCTATAGGACAAGCATTTATAATTAATATTAAGTGTCTGTGTGGTTATTTGGGAGTTGACCTGGTGCGGGAGAATTGTCTGTATTCTGTCAATCATGTTTTAAATAAACACTGATTGGCCAGACAAGAGGTGTAGGTGGGAAAACCAGACAGGAAGTAGAAATGATGCAAGGAGAGCAGGAGAATTCTGAGGAGGAGGAAGTTGATTCCTCGCACTCCTACCCAGATCACCGAAGCAGCAGGATGTAAGCTGCCCCACTGAAAAAGGTACTGAGCCACATGTCTAACATAGATCAGAAAAATGGGTTAATCAAGATGTGAGAGTTAGCCAGTAAGAAGCCTGACCTAATGGGCCAATCAGCTTTATAATTTACAGAGATCTCAGTGTGATTTTTCTCTGGGACTAAACAGCTGGGAGAACAGGGTAGGACAGAAACACAAACAAGCAGGCCCGGCCTTTTCATGTTACATTGACCAGCAGTGCCAACAAAAACACTCTGCTTACAAATGGCATTCTCATGTGGGACACCTACATCCACAAAAGATCTGAGAAAGCTTTTAAAAAGTTATAAATAAACAACAGTTGAGCCAAATGCAGCTTCCTAGTCTCATGTCTCTCATATTGACTGCAGTACAGAGACTTGTCTCCTGGCAGCTGCCAGAGGGATGGAGCCAGCTGCCAACCACCATGCACTAGCACCACACACTAAACTGAACAGTGCCAGCAGCTAACACAGCAACTTAAGATTTGTCTCATGCAATCAAAAAATAATACAGATGCTCAGAGAAGACAGATCTAGATGGAAAAGGAGGAAATGTTGTGGGACAGTCTTTGTAAATTTAAATATGTATCACTCTCATGGATTATATAGGCCAGAGCTGACTGGCCTGTAGCTCGGCAGGAAGGGACTGGGTGGGAGAGCCAGACTAGAAGGAGGCTCGGAAGAAGAAGTGCAAAGTCTGAGGGTCCCGAACAAGATACAGAGGAAGGAGATAAACATGCCATACTGAGATAAGGTACTGAGCTACATGGTAGAACATATATAGAAATATGGGTTAAAGTTGTAAGAGCTAGTTAGTAACAAGCCTACGCTATTAGCCAAGCATTGATAATTAATATCATGTCTCTATATGGTTATTTGGGAGCTGGCTGGTGGTGCTAACAAAAATTCCGCCTACACAGGACAGTCAGGACTCTTAAAAAGAGAACTTGCCTAAAAAAAAAACAACAAACAACAACGACAACAAAAAAACCATGGAAGGTGTGTCACAAGAGAAAACACAGGTAAAGCACTCGACAGCACAGTCAGCTCTGTAAGATCCCACAACTCAGTAATAAACAATTAACAACAATAAGAGTGGACAAAAGAATCAAACACACACTTCTTCAAAGAAGATGTACAAATGCCTACAAAGTACCTGGAAAGATGCTCATTGCCATTGAAGAAATGCAATAAACCCAGTGTGAGCTATAATTACACATCTATTAGCTCTGGCCAGAAGCAGGAAGACTGACCATGCCAAAAAAGCTGAACACTGGCACAAAGGTAGAGTGTCTGGACTTATATGTGGAGTGTGATATAAACCAACAGCCAATGTGGTTTCTCTTTCTCTCTCTCTCTCTCTCTCTCTCTCTCTGTGTGTGTGTGTGTGTGAGAGAGAGAGAGACAGAGAGAGACTTGGGGTCAGAGGTCAATCCTGAATGTCATTCCCCAGGAGCCATCCATCTTGTTTTTTGAGCAAGGTTCTGGAACTTGAAAATTCCCAAGCATATCAGGTGGCCAGCAAACTGCAGATCTGACTGTCTCTGGTGGGATTATAGACATGTGCCGCCATACCTAGCTGGTTTATGTGGCTTATGAGATTCAAGCTCAGGTTCTTAAGCTTGGGCAAGCACTACCAATTATCTATCTCCTCAGGCCTCTGTGTAGTGCCTTATAAAGCAAAACATACGATTACCACGTCCCAGAAACCCCACTCCTAATCCACCACCCAAGAAAACAGACAGTAGGGTCATGTAAAGACTTGTACTCATACATTAATAATCTTATTCATAAAACCTTGATAAATCCCAAAGTCTCTCAATTACAGAAAGATAAAGAAGCTATATATCACCACAAATGGGATACTACTTGGCAATAAAAAGGAACTACTGTTTAAATGCAAAACCACAAATTTCAGAAGAACTCTATTGACAATGTCAGGTATGAGTAACCACAGTCACTAGAATGCCATTTTTAAAAATATTTTAAAATTAATACAAGTGCATTGTATGTGTGAACATGTGCATACCACCACACATGTGTGGAGGCTAGATGACAAGTTATGGGAGATGGTTCTCTTTTCATGATGTGAATCCCAAAGACTGAACTCACATCATGAGGCTCGGCAGGGAGCAACCTTTCCCCACTGACCCACCGCATCAGCCCTAAACTCCATCCATATAAAGTTATACAAACAGCAAGACTATACAGAAAGCAGATCAATAATTACCAAAGGCTATGATGGACAGAGCAGTTTGCTGCCAAGTGTACCAGATGATTATGGGAGTGATGATGATATCCTAGCAGCCCCAGGTCGTGAGCAGTTATAAAGGCTGCCCACCATGCTCCGACTGTTGTATGCTCCATTTGTAAAGTTCTAAGGCACTCAAAGATTTGAGCTATATTCGTGTGTGTGTGTGTGTGTGTGTGTATAAATATATATGCACATCTTTTTGCTTGTCTGTTTTGATTTTGTTTTTATAGACAGGGTTTCTCTGTGTAACAGCTCTGGCTGTTCTTGAACTCACTTTGTAGATCAGGCTAGCCTCACACTCAGAGGTCCTCCTGACACTGCCTCCTGAATACTGGGATTAAAGGTGTGAGCCATCACCACCCCACTAATTTTTAAGTCTTAAGAAAAACACACACAAAAAAAACCAGTACTTTAGTAGACATATAATTTTATCAATTTATTAAACATCAAAGAAAATTTGCATACTAATAGATATGTTTATAAAATATTTTATATAATTAGTTAAATCTTGGCTGAATAGTTGATACTGAAGTATAGCATCTTTAATGCTTTTCAAAGTTGATCAACATCATGACTTTGTAATTTATACTAAAAACATTGCTTTATATATGTGTTAAAAATGGCAGAAGCACATTTAGTTAGGGTCCTTTAAGAAATTGTTAGAAATTTTGTCCTAACCCAAATTTTAATTTTTTAATGAGCATAATTTTTAACATCAATTTTGTTTGTTTGTTTGTTTTATTGTTTTGGTTTTTCAAGACAGGGTTGAGGGTTGGCGTATAGTTCAGTAGTTCCAGCCCCGATCTAGTAGATCCATCCTTTCGTGCCTGCGGTGATCTGCACATGGTGGCAGCAAAAGGAGAATGAAGAAGTGGTTGGGCCCCAGAAGTCCCTCACAGGGCAGTTCCCAGAGGCCGTCCCTCCTAGTTTCTCCTCACAGTGTCACAGCTGGACCCCAGCTTTTAACACAGGGGTTATGGAGGACATTTCAGACTCACTACATAGCGTCCACACTACAGCACTCAGCCCCGCCATTAGAAATGCAGCAGATGATATAAAACTGGTAGGAGTGACACCACCGATGCTTATTGAGCACTTACTGCTTCTAAGCACTATTCGTAATGCTTTACATGAACTTGGCTAACCTTCACAACTACCCTAGGAGACAGAGTGCCTTAGGATGAACATGGAACCACCTTCCTACCTTCCTAAGTACACACATTACTGACAGTAACTCATGCATGCACACCAATTTGGGCTACTTTCATCAGTCTATATGACCATAAACTAAGAAAACAGGCCCACTTGTAGGTATAAGAACACTATGTTGACTGATAAATTATTCAGGAATGGCTTTAATTATTTTGGAAACATACCTCAAAACCCTCAAATCTGTGTCCTTCCTCCCAGTCTGCAGAACAACTGTTGGTTTACACTTGATAACATCAGCACCGACATTCTTAGACTATGACACTCCTTCTTAAGATCTGCATTTCTGGATTCGCTTCAAAAGGTTTACGGGTTCTTAAGAAAAGACCTGAGCCGGGCAACTATTGGCTACTCTTTTTATCTAGAAGGCTGACTCCCTGCTGAGGCCTAAAACGATTTCTTCACTCAGCAAACTGTATCCCCTCTGCCTGTGGCGACCAAGCTCTGGGAAATGAACGTAGGGTGTGGCCAAGCACTAGTTTTCTCTCTTTCAACCTGCGTCAGCACAGTGAGGAGCCTCAGGAGCCTCAGACTTCACATTCCTTAACTAAAGTTTCCCTCTATCCCCGTTTCTCAGACTACGAGAGAGAAAACAGAATGCCATTGAGGCTAGAGAGAGACAGGAACATTCTGCTACTATTCTAAAACTTTAACTTCTCATGCAATTGCAAACCCACAAGGAGCTAGGCTGCTACTGACGATTGCTAATTATTGGCAGTCTTGTCACACTAGGAGAACTTAGTTCAGAGCCACAGGCACAAGGAAGCCATTTGAAAACAGCACACAGCTTTCAGTCCAAGTCAAGTCTGCTTACAGTGAGGTCTTCCCACTCTCTGGGGACTAGGTGCATCCGACTTTACTTCTTTCTGCAAGGCTTCATCAGAACGTTCCAGAGCACCTCCCAGGCCTTGCTCAGAGTCACTCGGCTTTGACTCTCCTGCTTTGTTTCTGTGGGACTTGTCGAGGTTTTCAGACATCCTCAGTGAGGTCTATTCGCTGCCCTAGGAAAGAAAGACAATGAGCCAAATGTGTTCAGACTGTGTCACTAGCCGACTGAGCAAACCCTTTCATTTATACTCTACCTCGGTGATCAAAGACACTTAACCAACGACACCTGAAGTCTTCGAGAAGAGCTGGAATATTTGTACCCCACTCCTGAATACCATGTCACAAGGAAGGGGGCTTACACTGCTTACTTCAGGTCAATCAAAGGGGTTGGTGATTCCATCTTAAGTCTGTATGTATTTAGGGACAGTGTTTCCCTGCATAGTCTCTACTGACCTTTAGCTCTCTACATCACCCAGTCTGGCCTTGAACTCATGAACTTTCTGCCTCCAATTTATAGATGCTGGAACTACATATGTGTACCACCATACCCACCTGAAACTAACACTCTTTACCTTCATGGCTGGGAGCTTACAGAAAAAGCCCTTGGAAAGCTGGGCCTAGCTATACGCTCTTGTAGTCCTAGCACTTGGGTGATGTAGGAGAGTCTTCTTTCTATGTGTTGCTTTCATTGATTAAATAAAGAGACTGCCTTGGCCTTTTGATAGGACAGCAGCTTAGATAGGTGGAGTAGACTGAACAGAATGCTGGGAGAAAGAAGCAGAGTCAGGCAGATGCCATGGCTCTCCTCTCTGAGACGGACACTGGTTAGACTCATGCCGGTAAGCCTCAGTCAAGTGGCAATACAGATTATTAGAAATGGGTTGAATCAATATGTGAGAGTTAGCCAATAAGAGGCTAAAACTAATGGGCCAAGCAGTGTTTAAACGAATACAGTTTCCGTGTAATTATTTCGGGTGTAAACTAGCCGGGCGGCAGGGGGCCAGGAACACAGCCCGCTGCTCCTCTTTACTATACTTGGGAGGTGGAGGGCAGAGTAACTTCAGGACCAGGGTCACTTAACTAAACACAAACAGCACCAACATGCAACTCTTTGGAAACAACACTTCTGGCCACCTTTCAGTACTGTGCTGAGGAGATGGATGCCTTCTAGTCTGACTGTGTGGGGGGAAAAAAAAGACCTGGAAATGGGGGCTGGGGAGATGGCTCAGTAGGTAAGGTGCTTGCTATAAAAGTTTGAGGACCTGAATTCAGATACTTAGAACCCACTGAAGCCAGGCACACAATCATGCTCTGGTTTCCATGCACAGGAGAGTACTCATGCACAACCCTTCCCCTAGATTCTAAAAGAATAACTGGGAGAGGTAGGCAGATCTCTGATTTAAGTTCAGTCTCATCTTTATAGTGAGAGTTCTAGAACAGCACAAGCTACATAATGAGATCCTGTCTCAAAAACCAAACAAATCAAATAATAAATAAATAAAAGGGAGTGACAAGAAGTACTGTCTAGACTCGATAAACTAAGTAAAGAGAAATGTGTGGGATATATATATGCATATATAAATATATATATACACATACATATATATGGTGTGTGTGTGTTTTTCCAGAGAGGGGTTTCTCTGTATAAAAGTTCTGATTGTCCTGGAACTAACTCTGTAGATCAGGTTGACCTCAAACTCAGATCTGTCTGGCTCTGCCTCCTAAGTGCTGGGATTAAAAACGTGCACCACCACCGCCTGGCATATATTTTTAAATAGTTGCTAATCAACAGGAAGAGCATATGAGTAAATCAGGAAGCAGCAGAAATCACAATGAATGTGACTGTGTTTCCATTGAATCAGCTGCTGAGAAGAACCTGACACTCCAGTCTGAACCAGTCAATAAAGGCAGTTTTCAAAGGAGTTATTTTATGTGTATGAGTGGCTTTGCCTGCACGTGTGCCTGTGCATTGTATGTCCGAGTTGGTTGGAAGGTAACAGACCCCTGAAACTAGAGTTACAGATGGTTGTAAGACAATGGGTGGGGGCCGGGCGGTGATGGCACACACTTTTAATCCCAGCACTCGGGAGCAAGATCTCTGTGAGCTGGAGGCCAACCTGGTCTACAAGAGCTAGTTCCAGGACAGCTAGAACTGTTACACTGAGAAACTCTGTCTTGAAAAACCAAAAAAAAAAAAAAAAAAAAAAGACAACAGGTGGGTGCTGAGAATCAAACCTTCAACATCTGGAAGAGCAGTCAGGGCTCATAACTGCTGAGCCAGTCCTCCAGCCCAAGATTTGTTTATTTTTGTTTTATGTGTATGAGGGTTTGCCTGCACATATGTGGACTATGTGTGTGTAGTGCTCACAGGAACCAGAAGAGGGCATCAGATCCCCTGGAATAGGAGCTAACAGGTGGTTGTGAGCTACCTAAGATGTGTGTTGGGAACTGATCCTGAGTCCTCTGTGAAAGCAGTCAGCGTTCTTGATGGCTGAGTCATCTCTTCAGCTCCATAAAGGAACCTTTTGATTACATTAGTTTCTTAAGTCCTCCCCACCCTTCTCTATTCTTAGGACATTTCTAGTTAAGAAATGAAAATAATTATATTCAGAAAATGACAAACTATTGTCATAAAAACTAATTTGGCCAAATTACACACTTGGAAGGTAATTGGGAATCTAAAGAAATGTCGGCTGTTTTAAGGAGATTTTGGCATATTTTTCTCCTGCAATTAGAGAGAGAAGAATAGTTTGGTTTAATTATCTTAAATCTCAAGAGACCTCTATTACATAGAATAAAGTTACCGGAATTGAAATTTTCAGGCCTGTTGTGATGGCCAGTCTCAATTGTCAACACGGTGATATGTAGCTTTTTCACCTTGGAAAGGACCAAGGACCGTGGTGGTGTTTTGTTTATGATCTAACAAACAAAGCTTGCCTGAAGATCAGAGTGCAGAGCTAGCCACAGAGGCCGGGCAGTAGTGGCTCACACCTTTAATCCCTGGACTCAAGAGACAGAAGCAGATGGATCTCTGTTAGTTGAAGGCCACCCTGAGCTACAAGAAATTGCTCCAGTCTAAAGAGAAACAGAGCTCACACAAGAGTGGTCCCAGCACTGAGGAGGTGGAAACAGGATGGATATGGCTGAGTGGAGAGAGGAACATAAGGTGGGAGGAGACAGGAGCTCAGTGCAGTCAGTCTGAATCAGTCTGAGGAGATAGTTTGAGAACAGGACCGCTCCTTGGGTCTGAGCATTGGTAGCGGTAAAAACTCTCTAGTGGCTGGTTGCTCTGCTTCTCTGATCCTTCAAATTTCAATTTTCACCCTCTGATAGCTGACTCTGAGTTTTTATTATTAAGACCAAAGAGAATTCGTGCTACAAAAGACGCTGTTGTGGATGATGTTTTACTTTTTTGGGGGGGTGGGGAGGGTTGAGACAGGGTTTCTCTGTAGCTTTGTAGCCTGTCCTGGAACTAGCTCTTGTAGACCAGGCTGGCCTCAAACTCACAGAGATCCACCTGCTTCTGCTTCCCAAGTGCTGGGATTAAAGGCATGCACCACCATCGCCTGGCTGATGTTTTACTCTTTTGCTCTCTTGGCTTTTTGGGGGGCCCGCCACCTGGTTCCAAATAAATCACACATGGAGGTTTATTCTTAGTTAGGAATGCCCAGCCTCAGCTTGACTTGTTTCTGGCCAGTTTGTCTTAGATTGTCACACTACCTTTTGCCTCTTTCTCTATTTCTGTATTCCTTACTTTACTTCTTTCTCTGTGGCTTGCTGTGTAGCTGGGTGGCTGACCCCTGGTGTCCTCCTCGCCTTGGCCTCCCATAGCTCCTATTTATCCTCTCTGCCTGCTAACCCTGACTATCTTTGCTCCTGCCTCACTATTGGCCATTCAGCTCTTTATTAGGACCAGCAGGTGTTTTAGCAAGGCAAAGAATCACAGCTTCACAGAGTTAAACAAATGCAGCATAAACAAAAGACACACTTTAAATAATTTTCCCCAACAGGACCCTCTATGAGAACTGTCAAGATCAGGCTGGCTCACGGGAATGCCTGTGAGAGATCAATTATGTTGACTGAGATGGGGAGGCTCTCCCACATGTGGGCAGCACCATTTCCTGAGCTGGGTTCTGCTCTAACAAATGGAGAGGGGACTGTACACAAGCATTTGCTGATCTGTTTCTTGACAGAGAATGTAATGTGACCGGCTGCCTCATGCTGCAGTGATTTTCGCTAAATGGCAGACGATAGCCCTGGACTGTGAGCCAAAATAAGTGCCGAAGTAACTTTTGCTATTTTTTTGTTGATTCATTTATTGATTTTTGAAGGCAGGGTCTCACAAGCCTGGCTGGCCTGCAACTCTATAGAGAAAACAGGCTGCCACCTCACAGAGATCTGCCTGTCTTTGCCTCTCAATGGCTGGGATTAGGGGCTACCACCATGTCTAGTGGCATTTCACCTTTCTAATCCATGGTCACCTCCCCTTTGGAGAAAGTGTCTTAAGCCACATAGAAAGTTACTAAGTTAACTAGGTTGGTCCTGAACTCATATAGCTCCACCTGCCTAAATTCTGGGACAAAGGCATGTGCCACCACACCTGCCCAATCTTTCCTTCCAAAACTCATCTCTTCACGGTCCTAAATCCTACTAGAGTTTGGAAGTGCAACAGACCCAATGTACAACATCACCATAGATTTCATAAGAAACAAAAACATACCTAACTTACCCTCTTCACATGCGGAGGAGCTGCCCAGACCATGAAGAGTGGGTGCAGAAAGGAGAAAAGGCAAGACTCCTTTGAACTCAGCAGACTGCCCCCAAGACCCGCGCAGGTTCTGTCTCCTCCCAGGGCACGCCCTTCAGCCCTGTGTTTGTTTACACTTTTCTCCAAAGTCCTGAGGGCTGCTGGCTAGACCGCTGGCATCCGTCCCTGCCTTAAATTCCAGCCAAAATATGGTTATTTAAAGAGGGATAGAAAGATGAAAACAATCTAGCCAGAGAGAGACAGACATGTTTGCAGGGAGCCACAATGAAACACAGTAGCATGACTTTGCTATTCTGAATAGCTGGAGGGAACCGAGAAAGCCTTCCCAGAAAAGATGACACGTGACCTATCTTTGAAAGGAGTAGAATTTCACCCCTTTATAAAGTTGGGGGTGGGGGGATAGAAAGTGGGGTACTTCATTCCTCTGGCAGAAGCCATGGCAACTGAAATGGAACCGGGACAGGTAGGGAAGATGGGAAAGAGGGGTTGGGAGTCAGATGGGGAAAGTGCTAATTGGTACTTAAAAAACAAAAGGAAATCCTTCGCCTAGATCAAGAGCCAAGACCAACCATATTCTCCACAAAGACTCTGTTCGTATATCTGCGCCACCCCCAACCCCAGCAGATACCCATCTGTTGATAGACATAAATCCCCGTGTCATTGTTGTGATGTCACTGTATTTGGGAGAGGTTGCCCAAGGTGTTTAGGGTAACACTGGACCTGTGGTTTGCAACTCACAATATATCTTTAGTAAAAGTGATCAATTTTTCATAAAATATCCTATTCTCCGCCACTTCTGAGATCCAATTCTCGCTCTTTAGAGTGCGACTTCAGCTTTCTACGGAGTTGTGAACCTCCTCATTTAACGCTAAGACTACCCAGCGACCACAGGCTGGCACACAACCACCCCTTCACGATCGGCAACTCTAGTTAAAGAGCTGTAGGGTGCATCCCGGCGCTATTTAACTGCTCCCATTCATTCGCTCAACCAACATAAAATCCTCCCGGTACCTAACCAGGAAACCGAGGGGAGGAGGATCCTGGCACGGGGACACGCATCTGTCGGAGCTGCACGCGGGCCCAAGCTGAACACAAAAGAATCCTCCAGAAAGGACCTCTCAGGGAAAGAAAGATCTCTGGCCACCGGCGCGGCAACCGCGTCCACATTCCGTTGTAAACAGCTGTTTGGGCGGGCGAGGAAGAGGCAGAGGCGCGGCAGGAGGACGGTCTGGAGGGTAGGCCCCCACCCGCCCCTGTCTCCTCCTCGTCTCCACCCGGCATCCCCGGGACCCGACCAGCCGAGAGAGGCCAAGAAACGCCGGTGCTTCCGCCCCGCGCCTCCCGGGCTGGCCCGCCGGCTCGCGCGGCCGCCCCGCTCACCTGCCGTGCT